AGAGAGACACAGTGAGAGAGGGAACACAAGCAGGGGGCGTGGGAGAGGGAGGAGCAGGCCCCCCACTGAGCAGGGAGCCTGATGTGGGGCTCGATCCCAGGACCCTGGGATCATGACCCGAGCTGAAGGCAGACGCCTAACGACTGAGCCACCCAGGCGCCCCTCTAGTCATTATTCTTAACTCCCTATCCTGTCTCACTTTTGCACCTGTTACTGTGCACCCTCCATGGGGATAATTAGTCCACCACGCTGCCCACAGTCACCCAGTTACCCGGACGATCCAAGGTCCGGGCAAAATAGTGGTCAGATATTTATGTATTCAGATCTGTCTTCAAGTACTTTAAACAGAAGAAATTGTCTTTCATTTCTCGGTAAACAAAAAGGTAAGTTGAGATTTGCCAAATAGAATACATTCTGAGGGAAGACAACTGCGTTTTGAACTATTATATAATCCACTAAGGAATAAAGTGGTTAAAACTTTCCTTTTAATCAAAGAACCATATTTAGGCAAACTGTACAAATATTTCACCTAATGCCTTATGATAATAGTATTCTAAGGAGTGTCATGTCACTGAAGTGACATGATAACCTGATTTTCTTTCCTTCCTATTTTATAAACATGAGCATTTGGTCATGAGTTGTTTTTTTTTTTTTTTTTAACAGAGTGATGTTCGAGCTCCAAAGAGCACTAAGCACGTCCACTCAATTCAGTGGAGTAGAATGAAACCTCAGGATGAAGTGAAAGCTGTCCAACTTGCCATTCAGACATTACTCCCTAACTCAGAGGGCAACTCTAGAAGCAGGTCTAACTCAAGTAAGTTAGATGTGTGCTAGACTCCAAAAACTTGAATATCAAATTCTCATACCCAGGATAAGTGCCACTTTGTGAACAGACATAGATTTCTAATATAAGACTTCCATCTTTTATTTTTAGAATATTGGTTTTATAGACAGACTGTATGGACAGTAGTATTTATGGACTTATAAATGAGCATATTACAATAAATTTCAGTATTTGGATAACTATGATAAAAGATGAAAATTAATGATTATGTTATATTGGTAAATAAGAATATATATTTATACATATATATTCAGTTTCCCAAAATTGTAGATAGGGATATGAATCTTCTGGGTCCAGCAAACATTCCTATGAAGCCAAAGGTATCACTGGGGCAGTTTTTTGAGTCCTGAACACCACGGATACATCAAAGCAGAAGAATGATGGTCGGAGGGAGGGAGGGAGGGAGGGGAAGAGGAGAGGGGAGAAATAAAGGTAAGGAAGGATAGAGAAAGAGAAAACATGAAATGCGTATGATGGACAGTGGTGACAGTAATTACAGATGCTATACTGAAACAAATTAGCATTTACATAGGGGAAGGCCAGCTGACTTGCTGTTTTGTTTTG